ATTCTCTTTTTTCATTTTTTAGAGAATACTTTATTAGTTTCTGTAATCAAACCCATGTAGATATGTCCTTACATATTTAATACAGTGCATTACCCCTGTAGAAATGGAAAAAAAATTAACTTTCTAGACCAATATGGCTGTTAATTTCTGTACAAAACCAACTCAACACAGTAAATTGGGATAACTTTTTCCAAAGTCGACAGCACAGTTAGTTTCCAAAAATTTAAATTATATATATATATATGTATATATAGATTTATATTTATATAAAAAGACCAATAATAGCAGTATGTTATGTATCAATAGCAGCAACGGCTTTTCCAGGGTCTGCAGTCATCTGAACCAAATTATAGACATTCAGCACACTCCATTAAAAAAACAAAAACAAAAAAACAAAGAGAAGAATAATACCCAGAAAGCAGCAAAGTTCTGTTGCTGTTGTGGCACCTAGCACCATTTTTTATTAGCATCTTAATCATCATCTGGAGAGAGAACATTCTAGAGTAACATCATTAAAAATAGCTCTGATAAAGCATGGTCACTACTACATATCATAAAGCAGGTACAAGATATTTTACACTCACAGAGGTATGATACAGTACTGTCCTACATCTATATTACTAGAATCAGTTTTGGTTTGAAATTTACTTTGTCTGCAAATAAGATTGCTACCCCTGCTTTTTTTCTGCTAGCCCAGTTTTTTATAGGGCAGTTATAACATCTCTTCTCAACTGTTATACAAGAGTGGTAAGATGCAATATATATATATATATATTGCTTTCATAGTAAGGCTAATTTGCATACACAATTAATTTTGGGGGTGAAGTAGAAAGTTGCATGAATTGTACACCTGTATACAATTGCTTCAAGTTTTTCTTTTTTTTTTATCTAGTGCAGATATATGATTTTGTACAAGAAGAAGGAAAATATAGCTCTTCAAAAGAATTTTCTGGGTTTTGTTGAGAACAAAAGTATGCAAATTAAATTTTTCCTTTTACTGAAAATTTGCTAAATTCTTTCAGTAAATACAGTGAAGATACATTAAAACATTGTATGGTTTTTCTCAATATAAAATTATTCTTGAACTGTGGGACGCAGCTAAGTGGTAGGGTGACTATTTAACCTATTCATGCACAAAGCTTTGGGTTGGATCCTCAGCACCAGAAAAGAATTCATTCTTCCAGATGGAGTTCTATTATATAGTGGTGCTTAAATATGGCTTAAATATTTCCATATTAAGAGAATGAATTTATGTTTGTGAGATTTTCACCATTGAACATATTCCTAGGTCAGTCAAGAAACTAATGTGTAATATCTAACTGAAATAATTTTGTGGTAGATTTAAAGATTTTCTCTTCCTATGGAGTCTTCCTTGGATTTCAGACTTGAGAGTTTAATCATTGAGAAAGTAATCTTACATTGAGTTCATTAATGAAAGACAAATAACTAATGATAATTCAAGAAGTAAATATAATTTAACAGAGGTAAAGACAAGACACATAGATAATTTTGTTGAATCCTGAATATCTATGTAATAGCATGAGTTTCTTAGTGGTACTAGGGATTGAACTCAATCCCTTCACATTGAACTACATCTTCAGACATTTTTTATTATTTACTTTGAGACAGGGTCTTTCTAAGTTGTGCAGACTGGGCTCAAGCATGAAAATTTTTTCCCATATTAAGAGAATGAATTTATAATGTTTGTGAGATTTTCACCATTGAACATATCTATTAACTCATAATTTTTTGCAACTGCTCTGTAGATTAAATGCTCACATTATTAATGCCACACTGTCAGTTTTACCTTTAAATCTTAATATTTCTCTTTTCCCCAAAGATATTTCATGTTTTGTGTGATTTTCAACCATATCCTATTTTGATATTCTTGTTTCTCATCAATTACTGTTCTGTAGGTGAAAGTAGCATCAGCTGATGGCATTTTGGAAACATTAAGTATCATTTTCTTGTTTTTGTGCCACTGTGTATTAAAATATTTAATAATTATTACTATGAATAAAGACTAATTAGTCTTGAAAATTGATTAGTTTTTAAAATAAGCTTTCTGGCCTATGTTTCACAAATATGCTACCCTGGGAAAAAACCTTTACCACATGGAATTAATATTCACAATTGATAGTGAAATGATCTAAATATTTAGGGAAAGTAATGATAATAGATTCGTGTAAAACTTAAACTCAAGGAAGTGATACATACACTTTTAAAGATTATAAACTGCATAGAACAAATTCCATGACATCTTACTTATTTACAAGTTTGAATACTGGAAATTAGGTAGATTTCAATTGCCTTTGCATTTTCTGGCAATTTATTATTTTTTTGTGTGGGACCAACAATATATATTATACACATGGAGAATATGACATATATGCAAAATATTAAATATTCCTCAATATATATTTTGATGGAATTTTCTTTTCATCATATTTATTATGTGAAGTCCACACAATGTTAAGGACAGTTGGGAAGTGGAGAGTAATGAAACTAACATAGAATTAGCCTGGTTAATAAACTGTTCTTTTCAAGGCAGGTGATTTGCTGGAACGTGAACATTTTAAGGGATACTGCAGTTCACAGATAATATTTAGGTTATCTGCATAAATCAAGATAAACAGTTGCTCACTTTGTACAGTAATAACAACTTGATGAGCTTCAAATGAAGCTGAGTGGTGTGGCACTCGCCCAAAACGCTCAAGGTCTTAAAAAAAAAAGAAAAGCAAGAAGAAATGTGAAGTAGAGCTGCTTCTATTCTGAAAGTGTAGAGATACTTACCCAACTTAGTTTACTGTACTTCTAACTTCTACAAAATCAAAATCATCAAATTATAGTATTCAAGTGAACACAAAAGCAGGTAGATACCATAGAGAAATAAAAGAATTAAGTTTTCATACATTTGGAAATTAACGCAAATGGTTTTAGTAATTTTGAAAACAGCATCAACAAAATGTAGAATGAAAATTTGCTTAATGAGTAACACAAAGCTACTACGCATCATTAAAATAATATGAGGAATAAATTAATATGATATATCTAAGTAGAGAAAGAAAAGTAAAATCTTTAATGCTTGACAGTTATTTTTATCAGTGTGAGAATATGCAAACCTATCCCTGAATAAAAGACTAATACAAATAACTCCTGTAACAATGTCATCAGTGTAGATGTACAGATTTTAATACATAATGATGTGATTATATTGATTCATTTTAAGTATTAATGATACATCTTTATGAAATATACAGGCTCATGGAAAACATGTCATTGAAATTGGTAGCTTTTGAGAAATATTTGATGAATATAAGGTAAAACAAAGTAAAACACCCTTTCATCCACATGATGTCGCTGTACACCGCAGTATTTCTCCCTTCCAATATCAAAAGGATACAGTGAGTATATTTTCACAAAGGAAAAGGATCATCCATTACTGGCTCTGCTACGGAAGTTCAAAAAGGTGAGGAAATAAAAAAGATAAATAGGAATTACGTTTCCATCCATATTTTGTGGTGATGTGATAGGGATTTGAGAAGTGGAACGGATTGCAATGCTATATTTCCAGAGAGAAAGTCCGGGGTTCCGGCTTCTGCTGCTATTGCTTCTGCTTGTGTCAGCCTGGGAGGCCAGAAGCGGCCACCTCCACTACTCGGTCCCCGAGGAGGCCAAACACGGCACCTTCGTGGGCCGCATCGCGCAGGACCTGGGGCTGGAGCTGGCGGAGCTGGTGCCGCGCCTGTTCCGGGTGGCGTCCAAGGAGCGCGGGGACCTTCTGGAGGTAAATCTGCAGAATGGCATTTACAAGGGGCGCGGCCCTTCTGGAGGTAAATCTGCAGAATGGCATTTTGTTTGTGAATTCTCGGGTCGACCGGGAGGAGCTGTGCGGGCGGAGCGCGGAGTGCAGCATCCACCTGGAGGTGATCGTGGACAGACCGCTGCAGGTTTTCCACGTGGAGGTGGAGGTGAAGGACATTAACGACAATCCGCCCAGATTCTCCCGAGAAGAACAAAGATTACTTATTTTAGAGTCAAGAATGCCAGATTCGCGGTTTCCAGTAGAGGGCGCATCTGATTTGGATATTGGAGAAAACGCAGAATTGAAATACAGGGTAAATCCTAATGAATATTTTGACTTGGATGTTAAAAGAAATGAAGAAGAAACAAACGTTTTACAGCTGATATTGAAGAAACCTTTAGATAGAGAAGAAGCCCAAGAGCATTGTTTAGTACTAATTGCAACGGATGGAGGAAAACCTGCATTAACAGGTACAGTTCAGTTATTGATCAATGTATTGGATGCGAATGATAATGCCCCAGAATTTGAAAAGTCCGTTTATAACGTCAGATTGTTGGAAAATACACAAAGGGAGACATTAGTTATTAAACTTAATGCCTCAGATGCAGATGAGGGCATTAATAAGGAAATAGATTATTTTTTCAGTAATATGGTTCTTGATGATGTAAAATCTAAATTTATGATCAATTCTAATAATGGTGAAATAAGAGTTAAGGGAGAGCTGGATTACGAGAACAGAAACTTATATGAAATTAATATCGATGCTGTGGATAGAAGTGCATTCCCATTAACAGGACACTGCAAAGTAATTGTGAAACTTCTGGATGTGAATGATAATACCCCTGAGATCGCTGTAACTTCCCTTTTTCTGCCTATAAAAGAGGATGCTCCCATTGGAACCGTCATCGCCCTCATCAGCGTGTCTGATCGTGACTCAGGTGCCAACGGGCAGGTGACCTGCTCCCTGAAGCCTCCTATCCCCTTCAAATTGGTGTCCTCTTTCAAGAACTATTATTCCCTGGTGCTGGACAGCGCCCTGGACCGGGAGAGCGCGTCTGGCTACGAGGTGGTAGTGACAGCCAGGGACGGGGGCTCGCCCTCGCTGTGGACCACGGCCACCGTGTCCGTGGAGGTGGCCGACGTGAACGACAACGCGCCGGTGTTCGCGCAGGCCGAGTACACGGTGTTCGTGAAGGAGAACAACCCGCCGGGCTCCCCCATCCTGACGGTGTGCGCGCGCGACGCAGACGCGCA